GTTCGTCAATCTCTTTCTCCCATCTGAAGGCCTGCATCTGTTCCGGAGTCATAGGTATCATATGTCCGGGCGTTGGAGTGGCCATTGCCATGGCTTTGGGGCCCATAGGAGTGGCACCGCTCGGTGTAATGGGAGTCATCGATGGAGTCATCATTGAAGGCGTCGCCGGTGTCATTGAACCGCCAGCGGCGGGCGTCTCATCCCATCGCGACCTCCGTTTGGACGCCCCGGGAGTGGGAGTGTCCTGAATAAGTTCGGCCCCTCTGTCCGCACGTGGGGTCTCCGCCCAACCGGAGGCGTGTCCGGGAGTCTCTCCCCTTTCGGTTTTCGGTGTTTCGTCCCATCGATTGCGTCGAACACTAGACTTAAGACCAGGAGTTTCGTGACCAGGGGTTAGGGGTGTAGTCGACGGATGCATTGGCGTCGGATCCCACACTTCGGGTGCGCTGCGGGCGTCGTCCGAGAGAACACGTCCAGGAGTTTGATCCCACATCCCGGGAGCGCCGGGTGTGGCCGCCTCTGCGTAGTCCCAACTGGACTTCTTCTTAGCGGTGGGTTCATCGGCAGTGTCGCCGGTCTGCGGCTGATCCCAACGGCGCCTTTTCGTCGACTTCGGCGATACGGCTTTCAATTCGCCTGATTTTGATTTCTCGAGAAGTTTTTTACGTAATTCGGCCTAAAATACGAAACAATAGATTAATATCATTAAAACATACAACGAATCAAATGCTGAATAATACCTCTTCTTGAGTAATGGCCGCCTCTTTAGCGATGGTCTGATAAGTGCGAGCCCTGGCGTCGGGTGTTTTGCCGCCTGAAACACACGCAAAATACACAGATTATTGGTTAGAATATAAGGCATTAAATTCTCAGTTAAAGTTTTAATAATTTGCAAAACAAGGCTTGAATTGATAATCGCATCCAAACCTCGTTTTTAGTAATGAATGCAATATAAGTACCAAAAATTGGAGCATTAATTGTAACTTAAATTACTATAAATTTAACGCAAATTCTGTCATAATATACATAAATAGTAACAAAAACCTAAGTATTGTAATGAAAGCTCCAATTGTTGAGACTTATTGTACGTACTTTTGTTTGTCCACATCTATAGACCTGACGAGTGGTCTAAATGTTTGACTTAAAGCCTGAAAAATAGTCTCGTTTGTCATTAGTAACGGTTTGTAACTTTGTTTTCATTCACACAATCAATTCAGTCCCTAATTTTCATTAAATTTTACATTAAATATGATATCAATCCCTAACACAACACATACTATAATTGGTGTTGACTTCAAGAGATTTATGCGAACAAACAGTTTATGTCCAGAAGACTGAAGGAAAAGAAACTTCAATTAGACTTCGATTTTTACTCCAAATAATTACAAGTTTTTCAGTTGTTTTCAATTCATTTGGTCTGCATTTGAAATCTCTTTCAATACATGTATTCATTCAACAAATCTCACACCAATTTCCACTCAAATCTCTCAAACATTTAATCAACATTTCAAACACTTCTCTATAATAAACCTCATCGACGAAAGTCTGCCCACAATCTTATGTTTAACGTCTAAATGAATGGTAAAAGTGATGGACACATACCGTCAGCAAATAAATCAACTCTTTCTGGGGATAGTTTTCGAGACCGATATTTACTCCGGTATTCGTCTTCCCGATCGGCTATTCGTGGGATCCGTCTCTCAGCCAATGGATCAAAATCCTAATCAATATCATTAAGAAATCAGTTAATCAATCAATTAATACAAATTAGAGTTAAAATCAATACCTTTTCGACCATTTCTGAGAGAAAAACATTGGGAGCAGTGATGGACTTCTTGGTGGTTAGCGATCCATTGGTGGGCTCGTACTCGTCGTCCTATAAGTGAGACAATTAATATAGTGGTCAACGAGTGGACACAAAACGTGACACAAACCTCATAATCGTTGTCATCATTGGTGGGAATGGATGTGTTATAATTGGCGTATTTGTTATGATTGTCGCCATAGATGTCCGAATCCATGGCCGCCTTCGACAGCGACATCGATATTCTTCCGTCACTTTCCTCACCATTTTCGGTGTTAAGACTCGCTTTCTTGGCCTGAATTTCACGGATCTGTGACTCGATTTCT